CTCAGCTGGAAGGAAGAACTGCCAACGCTGTACAGGACAGATAAGCTATCCCCAACCCACTCCCCACCACCATCTCGCAGCACGCCAGAAGATGAGATGGGTGGGCTGTGATGGGCATCTCCTGGCCATCAGGGGGACGTAAGATGGACGGCCTTGGAGTGAGGCTGGGAGAGCCTCGAGGGAGGAAGGGAGGGCTTCCAGTGCTGGCAGGGGGTGGCTGCTGGGTTTGTCGCCTCCTCTATTACAGCTGGACACACTGACAATGCTGGAATGCAGCCACAGCACACACCTGGACTCTCTCCACCTGACAACTCAGCTCGACAAGGTGTCAACGCTCTCCAGGACAGGTAAGATGACCCCAACCCAAACCCACCACAGTCTCACAGCAAGCAGCCAGGTGACACGCTCGGGCCAGGACGGCAGTGACAGTTCCATCAGGACAACAGGACACGGACAGACGTGGTGAGCCACTAGAGACTCTTGGACAGAGAGGCAGGGCCTGCCCATGGTAACAGGGATGCTACTCTGTTTGGTGCTTCTTTTTTTTCACCCAGAAACACACAGAAATGGGACCAGCCCACATCACACTCCTGTCTACTCGCCCCTTGAGAAGTCAGCTCAAAGGAAGAACTTCCAACGCTCTCCAGGACAGGTAAGATCGCCCCAACCCACACCAACCACAGTCTCACAGCAAGCAGCTAGGTGACACAATCGAGCCAGGACAGGAGTGACTGCTCCATCAGGACAACGGGACACAGAGAGCCTCGGTGAGATGTTAGAGACTCTTGGGCAGAAAGGCAGGGTCTGCTGCTCCTTTAGGTGCTTCTTCTCTTTCAGCCAGAAACACACAGCGATGGGACCAGAAACACAGCACAGTCCTGGCCTCATTGCCGTCGACCACTCAGCTGGAAGGAAGAGCTGCCAAGGCTCTCCAGGACAGGTGAGATGACCCCAACCCAAACCCACCACGCTCTCACAGCGAGCAGGAAGGTGACACGATCGGGCCAGGATGGCAGTGACTGCTCCATCAGGCCAACGGGACATGGATGGACGTGGTGAGACCTCGTGACCCTCGGGCACTGAGGCAGGGTCAACCCGTGGTCACAGGGGGATGCTGCTCTGTTTGTTCCTTCTCTTATGAAAGCCAGACACACACAGCGATGGGACCAGACCACAGCACACTCCTGGCAACTCTCCCTTTGAGAACTCAGCTGGAAAAGATGCCAACACTCTACAGGACAGATAAGCTATGCCCAACCCATTCCCCACCACCGTCTCACAGCATGCCAGGAGATGACATGGGTGGGCTGTGATGGGCATCTCCTGGCCATCAGTGGGACATGAGATGGACGGCCTTGGAGTGAGGCTGGGAGAGCCTCACGCAGGGATGCAGGGGCTGGCCCTGGCAACAGTCTGGGGCTGCTCTTCTTGATCATTTTCCTTTCTCTGCCCAGCAGAAAGCCCTGAGCACACCAAGGTCTGCCACTGTCCTTTCCCTCCTCTGCCTAATCCCTCCGCGGCCACTGACCTGGAGGCTGGTGCAGCTTTCTACAACCACAGCCACCAGAGGAGCAGGAAGCACACCAGGACCCCGTCTCTACTCGCCTATGGTCCTACAAGCACAGCAACAGGCCCCGCAGCTATGGACAAAGAGAGCTCGGCACGCCTCCGCACCACCCCACCCCACATCTGTCAAACCTTGCTCAAATAAATGTTCTCATTAACAACCTCATCGGCTGCTTGTTCCTGCCCTTCTTGGGGAAACTTTGGGGGGGCTCTGCCTTTTGCAGAAGGAGCAAGTGCACCAGGCTTCTTCACGTGCTGGCATCAACAGAATTTCAAAGCAGACTACGCGTCCTAATCTAAGACCAGATTCTGCAGGCCTTTCAGATAAGCGTTTAATGATAAACACTTATGCGACTCTGGAGGAGAGTAGTCTACTGTGTTCTTCATTTATTCCTGCAGATGGAATGCAGCATTACAGTTCAGTTGCTGAATCTAAACACATTTTGCCATTAATTCTTCTGATGCACCAGCTTCATCTACAGTTACATGAGGTCAAATATCTTTAACACTAATTTACTCCAGCATGACTTTTGTTGTCGTTATTCATTAAACGAAGTAACCACCTGTTTATTATTATTTTATATTTATATATTAAAATATATTAAATTTATATTTATTTATATATTATATTTATATATCAGTCTACAACTTCCTCGTAAGGGGGTGTCGAGAGACAGGAGACCTTTTCTCCATTAACACCAGCGACAGGACCCGCGGGAACGGGGTTAAGCTGAGGCAGGGGAAATTTAGGCTTGACATAAGGAGGGGGTTCTTCACAGAGAGAGTGGTTGCACACTGGAACAGGCTCCCCAGGGAAGTGGTCACTGCACCGAGCCTGTCTGAATTTAAGAAGAAACTGGACTGTGCACTTAGTCACATGGTCTGAACTTTTGGGTAGACCTGTGCGGTGTCAAGAGTTGGACTTGATGATCCTTAAGGGTCCCTTCCAACTCAGGATATTCTATGATTCTATGATTTTTTTCAAGCAAAGATTAACACCTCTTTAAAATTAAGTCTGAAAGAGGCAGCTCTGCCCCTGCAACTGACAAGTCAAAAAGGAAAACTCCCACTTCTGGCAAGACAGAGGAAAAAGACCAGAAATCCTAGAACAGGAAATTACTCTTGCAAGTAGGAGTAATCAGAAGCTGGTAAAGATAGTATCACATCTTAACAGCAGGACCAGAGATAGCCATTGAATCCAGAATCTATTGGAGCATCAGAGAAAGTCTGCATAAACAACTAGAGTCACTTGCAAAGCACTGGTAATGACATAGTAATAGCATATATTCCTTCCTGTCTCAAGTCACCAGGGAGACTTCTAAAACAACATCATGAATGTCAACTCCACGGAGGCTTCACAGTAAACTAATGGTTCCTAAAACTTGCAGCAAGATTTACAAAAGCCAATTTTGAGGCGTTAAAGCAGGAGTTTTGGTACAGACAGAAATAAAAGTTTATGTAAATGTTTCTCAGCTCAACACCAGACCTCACTCCTCAGATTCCTTAAGTCAGATCACCTGACAAGGGACTGGTGTGTTAGCTTCATGTAACAACAAACTCCCCACCCAGCCGCTCCCTCCTTCCCCTTGCTCAGCAGGGGGCAATACAAAACAAGACAAACGAATGATTTCTTATTCTAGTGTCAAGATAAAAAAATGGAGGCTGTTTACCAATTCCTGCTGTGGGTAAATTATTTGATTGCCAATTCAAATATGTTAGGATAATGAAATGGGGCCTGTGGTCAGCACACAGCAGTTCATCTCTCACTTCCCTCTCGCTTTCCCTGCTTGGCCATGGCTCCCAGGGCCTGTGGTGAGCTTCACCACAGGGCAGCCCCCACCCTGTCCTCACACAAGAGCCCAGTAGCCCCCTGCCAGCACCTTGACACATCAGCCCTGTCCAGGTGACAAAACCAACACTTAACGCTCATACTTTAAGCGCAATCAGTGGAGACCAGCCGCCTGGCACCCTGAATAAAAACAACTCAAGCTACGGTTTCCCTGGATCACCAACTAACCCCCTCATAAAACAGATCCCGTCTTGTCCTTGGGGTGTGCTGTGCACAGCTCCAGCTGTTCCTTGTCACAGATAAACACACCCAAACACCACGCCAGCAGTGCCACATGCTCAGGCCCTCTTCCATGAGGCCTTCCATTACACCTCTGCTGGACGTAGCCTGTGCTGCACCGACAGGGCCCCTGCTCTCAGTACCAAAGATGTCCTACAACAACCCTGCCGGTGCTGCAGGGAACTGCAAGCACTGTTCCTTACATTCAGATTTTTCATGCCTAAATCACATTGTGCTAGCCCGTAACGGAACCAAGCGTCCTCAATAAAAGCCTCTCTCTCTACTTGAACTATCACAGCCTAGTACGTATTTCTACTGTTTAAAAATATACCCATAAAAAAATCCACCTGATATCCTAAGAAACTAATCTCCCACATAAAGATTAAAACACTGCAAGGAAATAATTTCATATGATTTTTACCCCTTTTTTCTCCCCATCCCAGAGATGTTTTCAGACTCATGGCTTCATCGTATCTACACCAGTTGCTGGCATCATTTCATCGTAACTTTAGAGGCATAGATCCTCACTGCTGAGAACAGTAAAAAAAAAAATAAATTAATTTGAGCAAATAAATTTTGTTTCAAAATGAAACTGAAATTAAAACAGATTAGACAACAACTTTGCAGAAGAAGCATTTTTCCTCAACAAACATAACAGCTGATTAATGTTCTCAGTTGGTGGCTATCTTTTCTACCCACCAGTAAGTCTCTATCCAGAAAGCTTTCTGATCAGGCTCACCATGAAATTCTAGTAACAGAAAATCTGGGAGAAGAGTGGTTTGTTCCCTCCCCCCCACAGCAGCATTAGCTTTCCCTTTGGATAGAGTACCCAGTCACAGCCGAACACTCAAACACATGATATGAGCCATTGCAACAGACAGGGACAGGCTATTAGCCTGGACAGAAAATTGACTCAATTCAACAGAATGATGTGTTAGTTAAATCAAAGCTAAAGCTCCAGCAAATTAAGAAAACATGGGCAAAATCTTGGTTCTGCTCAATTCAATAAAGCATCTTCTATTCCTTGCAGCTAGGATTTCTCACAAGATTATCTGGCTCGAGACAACTATTGTGTCAAAAGGCACTAATGATATAGTTTATTAAGATGTACAAGAACTGTCTGTATTAGTTTGGCTTACATTAATCTAACTGTAACCACATATCTGCGCTGAAATACCATTTTTCTCTCCTACAACAAGATTGGATTTTTTTTCCCCGTCCTACCTTTTTCAGTAAAAAGCCCTTTAAATCACATCTCTCAGGATGACAGTAGCAGCTGGAACTTGTAATAGAACTGGAAATTAATCCCTAAACATGTAAATATAAGCTTATATAAATCTCCAAACAAACAAAAAAAAGACTCAAATTTCATTGTAGATGCTCCCAGTGCAAACAGCACTAGCAACGCCAAAATGGAATTTTAATTAAAAAAATACAATACTATAACAGTCATTTGTTGAGATAACATTTTATGATACAATAGAAGAAACAGTTAAAACAGAAACACAAAATACTTGGAAGTTTTACAATGCAGCTATCAACTTTGTTGTTAAAATGTCATTGAAATTAGCAATACAAATAAAGTGAAAAGCTTAAGATAAAGTGCTTTTCAGTAATATGTTCCGTTAAACCACGCAGTTCTCAATATCAGCCAGATCAACTCTGCACCAAGGAAAATGGTGTTAAACCTTTGAACTCCTATTTGCAGGGTAGAAAACTTCACTACGAGACATTTCTATAAATTTGAACTAAAAAATGCAAAGAAAATCACAGAGGTAATCACAGGCAAAAATTGCTGCTGTTGCTTCCCAGCGTTATTCAAAGGTAATGCACAGGGGAATGTTTGCATGACTGACTGAGGCAAAATCTGATTTCACTCATGCTGTTTCACCCAGACCTAGCTCTCTGAAATCAGTATTTTATTTAATATATATACTAATATAAACAAGAGTGCTCATAATTCCTGGCTGTCAGGGCAAGTTCAGAATCTTTCTCTGTAATTACATCAAGAGTATATCATACACAGTAAAATAAATAACAAAGAGTATGTCACAAGCCAGCATCAGAATGCCTTACCCAACTGTAAATATTACACAGAAGGACCGGTGTACTTCCAAATTATCCATGAATATCAATGAATCATTTTCATTGACAATTATGTGTAAACAAAATACAAAATCTACTAGGGAAAGCAAGGGATGACAGAAAAGCATCAACATTTCACAGGCAATCAAAGGATTCAAACCAAACTTAACTGGAGTTGTAAATTACGTATTTCAAAGCCTTGCTTGTGGGATCAGATCACAGTATACCATTCTAGATCCCAGTTTTTTTGTGTTTTTTTTTTGTTGTTTGTTTGTTTTTCCCAGTCCCACAATCATAAGGAACTTTTGATTTTACACAGTTTCAGTTGGACACACTGATAGCAATGTTTATTTATTTTTTAGAATTTTATTGATTTCGACTTTGTAATACTGGCTTTCCACAGTATTTAATCCACTTCAAGGATAAAGGAGAGCAAAAAAAAAGTTTGTACAAATCTCCACAGAAACATCTGGTCAAAAGACTACAATATTCAACTGGAAATCTTCTGTAGAGTCCAACAGGCTCTGAGCCTGGCCCTCATATACCTCCAGAAAACAGCAACACAATTTCAACCCCATAAACTGCATATGAAAGCATGACTAAGATAATTCCAGTGTTTACAGACTACACTTCCAGGATATGCAGGCCCTTGATTTGTATAGCACTTTTTCAACTTCTACCTTTTCCAGGAGGAATAATGCAGTTTACAGGGAAGGACACTGGCCTTTAAATTTGTACCCAAAAATTAACTTGTAAAAATAGCACATTAGTTATACATGCATTGTTAGTTTCTATTAACTTCCTGTTAACAAAATCCAGACATGCATGAAATCTAAATCATGATTTCTTCAGAACCAATTCTGGCTGGCTTTCACATACTTTGCAAAACAGAATTGCATCTCAGTCTGCATTTTTCCTGAACTCAGATACGAAGTTTCTCTGTCCTCAGAGCTGCATAGAGCATATCTTATAAACAGCGTTAGACCCATGTAAGATTCCTAAGCTGTCCAAAGGAACTGTACACGCTCTCCATAGTTCTTGTCTTCTGGCATTCCAAAGAGTACAGTCCAGCAGAGTGCCAGGAACCAGACAGAATAAACAGACCATGTATACCAACAGTTGTTTGGTATACCTAAATCAGAGGGCAAGCAAGCCCCAAATTAGCTGAGGAAGAAAAGTGTTTTTCTGGAAATCACAGTGAGATTGTTTTCCAAAATTTCACTCCTTTTCTTTATAAAATATATTATATTTTCTTGACCATTATTCCAACATAATAATCAAAATTATTTTCCCCCTCCCTCACTTCAACACTTAAAGTAGAAAACTACTTTAAATGGCTCATTCAGTTATGATATAAAGAGAACATTTTTTTCCCCTTCTGAAAACCTGTGTTATGCTACTGTCCGCTTCCCAACACAGAATGCCCAGTAATCTCAGAGCTGAATAAGGAAAGGTGCTTTTTCAAATTCCTTTTTGAAGCCGGTTGATCACAGAACTTTACTTCAATGTTGCCATCGCTGAATGCCTCCCTCCTTGCCTCATCTGAGTCAGTGGGATCTCTTTGAGAAACGCTTGCCTTTTGCTGCCTCATAGAAATCCCTGAATTTCCAAGTTGCCTGGTTGGTGACACATTTTCTTTGACAATGCAGAAGCAGATGGCAGACAGGAAATTTTTCTTGAAGTTTTCATTCATGAAAGCATACACAATAGGGTTGCAAATAGAATTGAAGAATCCTACAATTTGAACGATTGCAAAGATCATTTTGACTGTTACATCATCATACTCATTTTCAAAGTTACCTGGAAAGGAAAAGGAAGTATGCTATAAGCACAGAATGACATAAATATCCACTGTTTAGTCTATATACATATCCAGTATGGCATTAGAAGTTTCTGTTTAATGTCTACAAAAAACCTTGCTAGAGGCCTTTAATATTATCAACAGGATTTCATCAGCAAGGAAAGAACACAATCTACAACACAGCCCTGCTTTGTATATACATCAGGAAGAACAGAGTAGTCCAAAATAAGCAATTTATTAGCCAAAAAACTTGCTTAGCGGCAAAGCAACAGAAAACTTCTATTTCCTAAATATAGGCCTCGTTTATTTTTCTTCTGGCTCTGCATTTCACATCCTTCTCCAACATATAAGTATTGTAACACCACAACACCAATCCCTGTCTTGCCACCAACTATTCATGTCTTCTTCATCTTTGCTGGCACGGATCATCTCATAGTATAAAAAAAAAAAAAAAAAAAAAAAAAACCTATCTTCTTGGTCATATCTCACTCTTAATTACTGAGATCACATTGAATTCCTTGAATTCAAATAGTTGGCTACCAAACTTGGAATAAGTACACAGCAGAATAAAGGCCATGCAGCAGCTGAAATAATCCACCAAATTGGCAGTGAAAAAAGCAAAGTATTATACTGAGCCCCATTCATGTATCATTACAGGCAACCCTATCACGGGACAAGTCAAACAATTCTAATAGCCACAGCTTTGTATTTTTTATTCTTCCCACATATAGACATGATTTGGTTCTGCTAAGTGGCTACAGAACTGCTAACTTACCTACAATCTCATCTCCAAGAGAAGGCAACTAAATGGCTGCTGCATTTTCAGAGTACAACAGCCACTGCTGCAGTAGGCATTGCCAGCTGCAGTCCCACATCCTGTCACAGTACCCAGGTAGGAGATAGGAAGTGAACTGTGCAAGACTTGAGCAAATTTAGGCAAATAGTGAAGAGGGCAGATAACAGGAGTGTATTTCAAAACTACTGTCCAACCAAGAGCACTGAGGAAGTTCAGATGGATTATAAATAATAAGAAAGGGATATTATCATAACATCAGAATGGCTTGGGTTGGAAGGGACCTTAAAGATCATGTAGTTCCAACCCCCCTACCATGGGCAGGGACGCTACCCACTAGATCAGGTTGCCCAGGGCCTCATCCAACCTGGCCTTGAACACCTCCAGAGATGGGGCATCCACAACCTCTGTGGGCAACCTGTTCCAGTGCCTCACCATTATCACCGTGATGTCCAGTATTTATATTTCTAACATGCCTACCTCATTAAAACCAGGCCAAGTGAAAGGATAAATATTTCACAGCAGTTGAACTCAAAGTAGTATGATAATTTATGTAGATGCAAATAGAAGTCTTCATGTATCAAATTTAAATTTAATTTCAAAAGTTACATGTTCAAGGGTTTTTCTACTTGCAAAGAACTTTTACCTTCCAGCCTGGTACTTTTGACCTTTCAGCAAATTAGGGAGGATGACAGACAGAAAGAAAATGAATCTACAGAGACAGGCTTGCCATCCTAATATTCAAGTCTTGCTATTTCTGGAGTCTCGTTATGAACAGTAAACCTCCTTTTCAGAACTGGATTATGTGCTGTACTAGTTCAGAAAACAATGGCAACCTTCTCTTTTAGAATATAAATTCTAAAAGAGCTGGAAGAGAGTTTGGGTTCCCTCCCAACCTTCCTGCAACAAAGTCAGGTTTACAGTAAGAGATAAGGATCATGTTTGTTTTTTTTTGTTTGTTTGTTTTTTAAAAACATACACAGCAGGAAAGAGGGGATATGGCTGACACACAAGTATATCTCAGATAAAAGGTATTTCCCAAACACATCTGATAAGAGGTTTTTTGAAATGTACTTACATTTTGTGTGAGCACGGCAGAACATTCTATCCCTCAGACTTCAGAATAATTCATCTGCTGTTGATTACGCACCTCCATTACAAGACAGTGATTCAGGATTTATAAGCACACCATTAACCTGTGCTAACAGACAGTATTTTATAGCCGAATGCTGCAGCAGCGCTAGCTTTTCATAATCTGTAGTTCCATTATCAGAAAAGAGAAAAAGCACACTAGGAAAGACTTCATTATATGACACATTGCAGATACTCACTGTATTCTATCATCATGTGGATCACATGGAAAGGGGCCCAACAGACTGCAAAGAGAAACACCACTGTCACCATCATAACAATTGCTCGCTTCTTCTTCCTGAAATTGCATCAAGACATTCCATACTGAATCACTATGAATTGATCTGTGGTTTACATATGTTTCACTGAGTGAAACACGCAAACATGTCTGATGATTGCAGATGCAAACAAAACCCTGGAAGATGCTCAGAAGCACGTCATTCCCTTTGAATAAGAACTGTGGTAGCACATAAAACTAGTAAATAAATAACGCCTGTTATTTCCTTGTCAGGAAAGCAAGGCATTTCCATAGCAGCAGCAAGCAATGGCATGAGCCTGTCTTGCAATGCATTTTCATTCTATTCAAGCAGATGTAATTCCAACAGTAACAGATGGGTTAAAAGCCATGAAATTCCATTAATAGCTCCAAAAACAAGAGTTCAGTCCTAGAACTGGGAGCACTGCCATACGTGCAGCACCTGATTATACGAAGAATTTGAGAGTAGGTGAAGCTATGCCTGCAACATTCAGCCTTTATTGATAAGTAAAATGCTGGAATTGAGAGCAAGAAATACTCTCCCTTGCCTGTACCAGAATGCCTCACAAGCTCAATGTACCCATGAATTTATCATTTTTCTCCAAATGATATATTATTCATATAACCACACTTCTAGATCCCGAGACAGAAATCTCACTTGAGCTAAAGTAACGCAGTTACAGAATCCTCCCACTACGTGGGACATTCACTAAGCCAGGGAGTAGCCCAAAGCTCACATCATCTTAACTCATATAAGACTGCATCCTCTTTCAGTTCCGACTGATAAATATATCTGCTTTCTTGGGTACCCTATTAGACAAATGTCTAAGGAATCATCACTTACAAGCAGCTTGAAGCTATTTCTTACAGTACATGTTTAAGGTGATATGCTCCTCAATGAATTGACCTGTTAGAGGTTTCTAGCACATCATTCAATGGATCAATTTGCCAAATTAAAGGCAAAAATGAGAAGTAATATGAAGGGCAGCCCATATGTAGTGCTCATTAGCAAACATGTTATAAATGTAAACAAACCTACAAAAATCAGTAATTATCAGTGAACAAAATTCGTAACTTTTCAGATAGAGAGCTACTATCCAAGTAGTCTCACACAAACAAATGAGAGAACATTCAAAAACTCTTTCGAAGTTATAACAAGATTGACTGTGTGAAAGTAGGTTTAAAGTGAGTTCTGATTCCCCCTCACACACACACACCAGTTTAACTTATAAGATCATAAAGCAGTACTTACAGTCTTAGAGTTCTATAAAGAACTTTCCATAGAATGTAAGGAAATAACCTACCAACATTTTTCCAAGTTACTTTCTAACTCATGACCTACATCTTTTAAAAAGAAGGATTTTATGATGAAGGATATCGGATTTATTGAGAGCTTGACATTTAAGGTATGGTAATTCTACATTTTGATGAAAACCATTTAAGTTGCATTAATATGGGCATTTTGTTTAAATAACTAGCTAGCTTTAAAAATACAGGCTATGCCTGCTGAATTCCCCACAAATAAAATGGGCTTCTTTGCACTGGTTCTCAAAACCTGTCCATAAAAATAGCTTTCTAGAAGTCAAAATGCCGATTGTATTTTATTTTACAAACCTTGATATTTTAGACATTTCATTCCCATGAATGGTTTGAAGAACAGAAGCATCTCCCACTCGTTTCTTAATCCATAGTTCATAACCAATTTTAGTGTACAAAAAAAGCATCAATATCAGTGGAAGAAGAAAGAGTATAACAAGAATAAAGGTGGTATATATCTTCTGATAAATTGGACTGGCCCATTCCTCCAGGCAGCAAACATAGACTTTTTCATACAAGAAGTCATATTTAACCTGTAACAAGCATAAAGGAGTCACTACAGTAATTATCCCAAGGGTAAAAAAAAAAATTAACAAATTAAAAAAAAAATAAGGCATTATTGAAATATTCTTGGTTCTTAATAGAAGAACTGAAATTCAACAGAAAGACCTTTTAAAGTGAGAAAATTCTTCCAACCACTTCTCCACACTAAGTGTTGTATTGACCCACGTTGACAAAAGAAATATCAGGAGATGTTACACTCCTCAAAACTTTTTTACACCAGGATTTTCAAAGGAAGTCTCAGCTACATCTTTTGTGAATACGTGTACAGACACTTCACATATTCAACTTTTTAGAATAAATTTGTAGCATTCAGACTCAAAAGCAACAGATTCTGGCAAGTCTTTTTCTGTTTTGTTTTTCCAGAAGTGTACAGTAACTCCTTAAACTATAACGGGCAGTTGATTACACTTTAAACTAGATACAGTTCTTCAAAATCTTGCAGGAGACATCATCATCCTGAAACATCAATCTAAATCCTACATTACTGAGTCAGCACACTTCAAGAAAAAGAAAAAAAAGGAAGCTACAGTGCAAACCCCAGATACAATCAGTGCTCTTTGACCTCATGATTGTAGACATGACTAGTCCCTGCTGGCAGTCCATTTTGTAGTGCATGCAAGTCCAAATTATTCATCTTTATGCTGGCACATAAAACAAAAGCTCCGTTTCTGTTATTCCCCTCTTACATTTCTCAAGAGCTTATTCAATCTCATTGCTAAAGGTGCAAAAAGATCCAGGAAGGACTGAGTTGAAAATACAAATTCCCATTTCACCAAACATACCTCAAGCCGTTGAACATGCCACATAGGTGACCCAACAATAACTGCCAGCAACCAGACTATGCCTGTAAACAAATATTTTTTTTAATACTCTGTACAACAAGGAGCGTAAGTTTTGGTATGAACAGTTTAACAGCTTCATCTTTAAAAACCATGCAAAATACACTATTTAATAGTGATTTTCAGTGAGGCCATCAGTCAACATTCATATCTATAACAGCAAGATCTTCTGTTATCAGTTTCTCTTCTCTCAAAATACCTTCATTTATCAGTACGTACGTACAAATTTGTGTCAGCACAATTATCTATATTCTTTGTGTTACAATGGAAGGATCATTTGCAATTGCGACATTCCTTTAGCAGTGCTTGCACATTTTGAACCTCTCTTAAAAAAAAAGAAGAGGCTTACCAAGCATCGTGAAAGCTCTTTTATTGGTGTACTGCCACTTCATTTTTAGTGGATGCACAATTCCCTGATGTCTTTCCACAGCAATGCAAGTCATTGTAAGAATCTCAGTTACAATAGCAGTGGATTGAACAAATGGTACCATCTTGCACGCGAAGGCACCTGCAATAGTCAGAAAGTGAAACATGCAACTATTGTGGCTCAAGAAAAAATACTAATAAGTCTACTGTTATACAAAGTGATATCATGCAAAAGAACAAAATAGCATTTCCACATATACATGTATATATAAACAGTTAAACTGCTAAGTCTCCTATTTAAACAATTCATCAAATGCAGCTTCCAGTAGTCATTCTTCCATTGTGCATACTACACCCATAAGAACAAGAGTTCTAAGGACATATTAATGCCTACTGTTATTCCCACTCTACTCTGCACTGGTACAGCCTCACCTCAAGCACTATGTGTGGTTCTGGGTACCACAATATAAGAAGGACATAAAACTATTAAAGAGTGCCCAAAGGAAGGCTACAAGATGGTGAAGGGCCTGGAGAGGAAGGTGTGTGAGGAGCAGCTGAGGTCCCTTGGTTTGCTCAGCCCCGAGCAGAGCAAGCTGAGGGGAGGCCTCATGGCGGCCTGTAGCTCCCTCAGGAGGGGAGCGGAGGGGCAGGCGCTGAGCTCTGCTCTCTGGGGACAGCGACAGGACCCGAGGGAACGGCATGGAGCTGGGACAGGGGAGGGTCAGGCTGGGGGTTAGGGAAAGGCTCTGCACCCAGAGGGTGGTTGAGCACTGGGACAGGCTCCCCAGGGCAGTGGTCATGGCACTGAGGAGCGTTAGGACAATGCCCTCAGACACTGGGTCTGATTTTAGGGTGGTCCTGTGTGGAGCCAGGAGTTGGACTTACATGATCCTTGTGGTTCCCTTCCAACTTAGGTTATGCTATGACCAAGTCTTCCACCGTTTACTGTCAAATGTTACAGGGATACTATCTTTTACCTTGGCAGATTACCCTTTAGATTTTACAAGGTCTTAGAGTCACTTGTTTAGAAGTTGACTTTTTCCTGCTGTTGGAAATACATTTCTTCTGCTCATTTAAATACCACTCTATTTGTACACTTTGGCACTTAACACAACCTTCTGCTGAGTGTTATATTAGAGAAGTCCTCTGCTATGCATAACTTAAGAGAAAAATTCAACCTCTTCATCATTTTTCTATTCTCCAAATCACCTTTCTTCCCCCCAATTAACTCACTATGTTGATGACAATGTTGAAATCCAGTGAGATGCTGTATTTATGCAGCATCATGCATTTATTCTCCATTACTCACACTCAAGTCCAGCCATCTCAGAAACTGTGTTTAAATAAGTCTTCAACAAAAATCTTATGTTAACACCTTTCCCAGCCTGTTCCTTGTTCACTCATTTTCTGTCCATATCTGAACCTTAGATCATTTTGAGTATCTGCATTCCTACAGTTCTCTTACATGCCTACAGTTCAGTGCTCCTGGAGCAGCTGTCAATATTTCCCTTTACATCATCATTATTTACACCTTACCCAGATACACTCCATAAACTCATAGTAGAACTGGATCAGATAACCATTCGTCTAAGTTAATCTTTAAGATTCTACAGGCACCTTCTGCAAGAAAAGCACAGGGAACATTAAGAACACAAAATGGAAGCCATCAAAACTCAGTCCTGCTCTCCATAAAGGGAACAAGGACCAGGTAAACTTCTGTCTAGAAGGAACTGGTTTGCCACTGGTTTGATCAATCCTAACTAGGAAGGGGAAAAAATCACTTTCTGTAGCTCAAAAAAGGGAAAGGGAAGACGGGATAAATGGATGGTAGTCAAGGACCTTTGAAATACATAATCAGCACCAGCACAACAGTCAACATGCTCACAGATCTGTCTTAAAATAGAATTAAAAATATATACCACACAGCCCAATTTCAAACTATTCAACTGAAATTTTAGCATGGTCAGCAGGAACTGTATAGAAGGCTGTACGTCTGCTTCTCACCACAGTTTCTGACCTAGAACGTATTTTGTCAGGGAGCTGGCAAGAACAAAGTAAGCACAAAGTCAGCCTCCCACAAAACACGGTCATCACGGTCATTATCTGACTAACTTGGCATCTTATTTGTTTCTCATCAAACCCAGTATGATGTGGGATGCATTACACATGTAAGCTCCTGACAAAAAAATAAAAATATTTAAATTTTGCTTTTCTGCTCATGTAGTTTTTTAAGTGTACAATCTTCTCTTTCAATAAATGAGTCCAAGTTTGAGTGATGGAGCTGTAGCAGAAAGCCTTTCATCACATGCTGTTTTTCATAGCCTGAAAGAAGTCAAATAGTTGAGTCCATGTGAACTATACTCCATTGTAGGGGTTTGACTGTAATACAAGATTCCTTCACTGAAGTCCCAGACTTTCATTGCCTTTACTGATATGTTCCCATATTCTGCCCAATAACAGTCAAAGAGCACAGACTACCATTATGCCATTCATTTAATCTCCAAGAAAAAAGGCTGCAAAAATTCCTCACTTCTCAACTCTGAAGGCAAATTCCCCAAAAGTGACTAACTAATGTATAAGTAACTGGTAAAAAGGTAGTAAAAGGAAGAGTCTGCATAGTATCTGTAGATTAAGCCTTCTGAGCTAAATGAAGAGAGGCATCACCACTTCCAGAATCATGAAACAAAAGGATGCTTTTCATCGCAGGTGAAGTTGGCTGAAATAGACACTTGCTCAGTCACACCTACACATCTCAGTTCCTTAATGGGTTGAACTTTTGTGGCCAAGGAAAAACAACAGCCATACATGTTTTGTAAGCAAAAAACAAGAAAATTTCAAAAGGACATTAATGAAAAGCTATTCAAAAAGCCTCTATGTATCAATAGTAAGAACAGTATTTCAACCTCCCTGAAGCTCCTCATGCAACGTAGGCCAGCATCTCTGAATATCAACTTGCATTAATGTTACCACATCACTTTAGGGGAATTGTTTGCCTTGAATTGTCACTCACTACACAAGTTCCTATCTTCTGAAATTCTGAGGCATTCCAGTGTTTCATGTGTAAAACTTCACCAAACTTCATCTGACCTCAGACTTGAGATCCAGCTCCATCATCCTTAATTATATCTGAATTGGTTCCAATCCTTTTTCAGCCCTCTGCTGAACGCTGCCATTTATAAATACCCTGGACTTGGAGTCTGAAACTCAACACAGTGTTGTGGATACTAAACACAACCTTGCCTATGTTAACAGGTGAGGTAGTTTTTATGGGATCTAAGCCTTCCCCAAACACAGATGATGCATCTCTTCTTCCTTCCCCTTTAGTAAGGGAAGGCTGTAATCACTGAACAAGAGAACTGCAGAAAAAGGGCCCTAGAATCCTTGCTTCCAACCTTAAGAAGAAAGCCCTGCCAGTAGGGCTCCAGATATCCTGGAAGGGCAACAGCTTCAGGCCCACTCTCTGAAATGGACATAAATTACTAAAGCCACCTTCAGTGCCAAGTGAAGGAATTTAAGAGAAGCTCCATCATTCGCTATTTCCAAGCTGAGCGGGTTGCTCTGTTATTTCTAAACCTTTAAGTTCGAACTCCCGCAGCCTTTAAATCATTGAAAACAAAGCACAAAAGTTATTGTCTGTCTTGTCTTCCAAAGACAAGAAGTGCGATTAAGAGCAGAAAAATAGCTCCATGAATGTATTATGGTAATGGGCTAAAATTAGATTTCTTCTATCGGGCTTCAAAGTGATAGATCGCCTGGTAAATGCAAGACATAGGATTAAAGAGGGAAAAACTTCAAAACAGAAAATCATCTTCTATTGACTGCTTCTGTGCAGCTCATCTTTGATATAAAGAAATTTGTAGCTTATTTGCAGGAAAAAAAAAAAAAAAAGAAAAAAGGCATTTTTCCTCTTCTTCTCCATTCCTTGACCCCCTCCCACCCCACCTACTCCTTAGGTTCTTCTTCACTTGCAGGGGGAGCTGTGTCTATGTTCAACCCTTCAGAACAGAGCTTTGCTTCAGTTATTTTGCAAACCATGAAGTGGTTTCAGGAATCTGGTATGTAGTGAAAAGAACCTGACAAATATCCTTCAAGGACTTTCTAAAGGCCATTAAATTTATTTATTTTTAAAGAGAAACTTGCTGAGAAAGTATCTCCTTTTTATGCCTGCTCATTTTCCACTTAAGTGTCATACTCCCCCCATACAGAAACATGACTTTTTGGAATATTTTAAAATATTCATATTTAAGATGTGATAAAGTATTAAAACGTTTAACTTTCTACAAAGTAAGTCTTTCAGCAAAGACCTCCAATAGATCACTACTTAAGAAGGCACCGAAGCATTTAATACCAACCATTTCCAATGAAAAAAAGAAAACTTACAGGGGATTACTGGGAATGAAAATAACTAATTGCTTCTCCTTTGCAAGCAGCTAAGACGCTCCCAAAAGTATTCCTCATGCACTGCCAAAAACTGTATGGTTTATTCAATCAATTATTAGAGTTTTCCCCAATGACAACATATTCAGAAGGCTGCAAATATGAACAGTATGCCCTTAAGCAATTCTTCGCATCTTCATTATCAGATGTTGTCTCTGTATCTCTAAGTTTGCCATTTTATCACCACTGTTTGGAACATCTGTTTATTTTTCTTTTATTAGGGTAACAAAGGCAAAATTCTAAAACCATTCTGGTAAAAGTTGAATAGCAGCTTCCTCTGTTAAAGTGTTATTGACCAAGCCCTTGGACTGAAAAATCTCTCTCTCAACTTCCAAAACAGTTCTCTCCAGCTTCCTTGATGCAAGCAAGGTTTGAATTTTTATTTTTTTTAACTTCGGGGCAGAAAACAAGTCAGTTGCAATAATACAGCTTGTATCCTTGAAGGTCCTTCATACTAGATTGGGCATGGCACTGTATTATACTGATTCTTGGGTATACAGGTATCTTGTATCTTTAGTAGTTTGCTATCTGTGACGCACAAGCCTCTCACCTGTGCCCTGTAAAGAATAATGAACATTATGCACTGCTCTGCCCCAAACAACATACGAGCGTAGCACACAATAATGGAAGATCTGTGGTTATTTATACCTCACTGTTTAAGGTCAAGTACAGCAGACAAGACGTAAGGGTTTGGTTTGAGCCCACACAATTAGAGCAGGTACCTTGAACAGCCCACATTTCTTTACCAATACGTGGTATAGTCCACGCCATCCCCTCTGTGCTGTGATTTTAAAGTGTGCACGCAACGTGGGCTAGCTGGCCAAGGAATTCTGTCTCCACTGTCCACACTCCTTCCCCAAAAAAGCTCGCGTTCAGCTTTGCCCACGGTTTGACAAAGCCACCAAAACAGGCATCACAGCCTTCGGGCAAACTCAGATCAGCAAAACAAAGCAATCAATGAGTGAAAACAAATACCAATGTGCAAGGATGCAGGAGAGCTCTGCAGCAACGCACTGCTGTTAGAACACCAGACCACCAAAGGGCACTATGCCATTTGCAGCTGTAGCAGAAACAGCGAGCAGTACAGCTGAGGGGGTGGCAGGGAGCAGAACAGGACACAGTAAACAGTCTCCAGACAAGGCAGAGGTTGTCAGGTACTTCTGCCAAGAATATAACAACCACCCCAGATAAAACACTAACCAATCCATCCACATTCTTCAACTTGCTTGCTTTCTCTGCCTGATTAATGCAACAACAAACATTTTACATCAATCATTGTGTTGAATATTGATCCACGACTTGCAGAAATTCCCTGTGCTAAACATACAAGTTTTCTTCTATCAGCATTCTTTTGCTGCTTTTGTCAGATGTCATCCTGCCAGTATATTATACTTTTAAAAAATCCTGAACCCATTATTTCCTTTACTGAGGTATTCACTGGATAACCTGTTCTCAAACTATCTTCTTCCAGAATTGTATTCCTACCTCTACTTATAAGCACATCTGTGAAAGTAAACAATAGTAGTGACAGAATGAACGCAAAGGCAGGATTTCAATGAAACAGAGAACTAAAATCATCTTGCTCTCACGGACGCAGACAACCCAAAGACATAACCTCTTACGCTGCAGGAGACTGATGAAGAGTGTTCTTGCGTCTCTGACTTGATTTATACCAAGTCTAGACACAACTTAAATTGAAAAGTTTAAAAAAAAAAAAAAAAAAAAAAAGCTTAAAAAAAGATATCCAGTTATTGGAAGCTCATCTCCAGTTTTACTGCCTAGTGTTAACCCTAACAGCATGTCAGCAGAGTTTGAGAGCGTATGGAAACTGTCCGGCATCAAGGAACATTCCAGAAGCGAGCCAGGGAGAACAAGGTCCTGAAACAACACTGAAAATAAGAAATGAGAGCTTAGAGATCCCTATGAACATCAGACAAAAGGTCGAGTGATTTTATTGATGATGATTTTGTCAGAAGGGAATGTTTATGCATTCTCATGCAGAAACTTTGTAAGGTAGCGTACTGCTTGACAGATGTTCGGTGCAGAAAGCACCCTCAGTGCAGAACCAGCTACGACACACCACTCGGTTTTCAGCCAAATTTTTAGAGATGAGGAAACTGTTGTGCCAAGGAGCAACTGAGGTGCCTAAGAAGACCTTTACTGCTTCTTTAGATGTACTCAGGAAGCAAGGCAGCTATACATAATGGGCAGATAAGACAGCAACAGGCAGAAGACAAACCTCTCCTGCATAGTGCCTAGAGTCCAGAAAAGATACACGAGGTCATCTTGAATGCTGCAGTGTTTTATAGTGTTTCAGGTGACCCAATACTCCCCAGGCGATAGGAAAAAACAGCCTTCAACACCAGTTTTAAGAAGACACATCCTGTCTGATAAGATGCAAAATTCACGAGCAAGATGCAGCACACGTATTAGGTCTATGGTAATGTCATGTTTTGACTTTATCTTTTGCTGGGGCTATTATATTTATACAACATGAGAAGTAATATTCCAGTTGCTGCAGGCAGTTCTGCAAAGATATCACTGTTACTCAGCTAACCAATCCGTTTCAGAAAATAAAGCAACTCTTAGATATTTGGCCCAGACAAAAGCCCAAATTGACACTTAACAGGGCAGCTATCAGCATGACCACAGGACCTCTACTGCTATCTCCCACCTGTGATCATAACTGAGCAAAATCCTCAAATCACTCCAGTTTGCACCAAGATCACCTTTGCTGCATGCACCAATTCAATTCTTATTCAAGTTCCACTCTCATCCTCTTCCTACAAATTATACCAACGATCACTTATGCCAAAGCCACAATTTTAATTTTCTTCCACAGGATCTTCTGCATTGCTGAGAGATTAGTTTGCAGAATTTCTATGTAAAGGTCATCTAGACATTACATCCTTTTTATTTGCAAAGTATAAATAAGAAATTGAATCTTATACCATCACTTTAAGAGTCTCATGCTGTTATACAGATTTGTAACGGATTGCAGAATTGAAAATGATACGGATTCACCCATTTTCAGTCAAGATGGAGCTGGTCCCAGTTACTGCATATGTGGAGCTAGCAGCTATGTTAGCACTGCACGATCACCAGGCAAAACAAGCTGCACGTTCAGTTTGTTGAAACTCCAGGTGCTAAACTGTAAGTGAAGTTAAGTGTGTTAATGAACATACTGTGGAAGAAGTCGTGTCAGTGCCTTTCACATCTCTGCTGGAAATTAATTACCTTCTGGTAAGTGTAACAGTAGAAATCTTCTGTTTCTAAAGAATTTCGACAAACACAATCTATTACAGAGGAGTGATTCCACCATTCAGTTTGACTCACTTCACATTGCCAGCTATCAACGTTTTCCCTGGAGTCCTACTGTAAACTAAGCACAGCTGGACGCCTTTTGGGTGAAAGTGTTTCACCTCTCACTTTAGAAGGAAAGGTAATTATTCCTTCCTGATAGCATCCCATTATGGAGATAACATTGAATGGCTTAAAAGTTAACAGCTACTTTAAAGCTGTGGCTGTTCTTACCTCTGCATATTCTCTATCTCATCCTAGAGCAAATGTAGTTCTGCCCTCACTTCTGCTCTGTTGTGCCCTTTTGAAGGGGAAAGGAAGATAAAGAAACACAAACAGCTGCACACAGGCATGGAAATAAAAGGACCAATTCCAACGCAAAGGTAAGTACATAACATACTTGTGTCTCAGCACACCTCAACTAGTACAGATGCTTGTTTTAGTGATACGAGTGCAGCTAGAACAAGAAGTGAAGTGGCTCTAAATGCTCAGCAACCCAGAGCTATTTCACGCATCAAATGACTCACTACATACCACTTTGTCCAGCAGGAATATACTGCATAGTCAAAGCAGCTTTTTCTTAACAGAGCCGGAGCTTGCACTACTCAGAGCAGCTTGCATTAAGGTGGATGAGATAAAGCCTCCTCAGACTAGGAAATGGAAGGCAAAAGGAAAATTACACCTTTAAAGCAAGTAAGGAAAAGAGTCCTCCCAGTCTGGCAGGCTCTGATTTGCAGTATAACTGTAATCACCATTCATGCTTCACAGTGTGAGCCTCAAGAATCAGGCACCCCTGGGACACCTTCAATTTACATCTCATTTCCCTGAGTTTTGCTTCACTCCCTGCCCACCCACTGAAGGGCAAGATTCATCAATTATCCTACTTATTATGCCCTGCCAATACCACATTAGTTAAATCCAGTTATATTACCGGGACCATAAAGGTTGAAATCAAAGTCAATGGGACTATGAATCCATTTGCACTTAAAAAGCTCCAGCACTGCAAAGAAGGTAGGCAAAAAGTACAGTAAAATCCACACAATGGCACACTTCAAAATATCCAAGTGCTGAATATCCGAAGATATTTGTTGCAACCATGCCATTTCTACACTCACTACTTGTAGATTTCGTCAAGCATCAGGTAACATAAGATGAAGGGAAATATACATGCTTCACTCACACTGTTCCACATGCCTCTGCAATATCTGTTACAATTCACCTCAGGTGGAGGCTTCATCGGACCCCGCTTTTAGATGGCTCTTGGTCAGATGCACGGCCTGAGGCTGACAGACTGTCATCCCCAATACAAGGGAGGGGAATCACAACTCTAATCTTGGGGGAAAGACAACTCTAACCTTTAGGGAAAGCTACCCAATTTAGTCCTTTCACTCAAACGTGGGACCTCCTGATGCCTGCAACAACTTTCTGCTGTGTTCATCTGCAAGGAGAACTTGAACAGTCAAAATGAAGGCACAGCAGTATAGCTATAAAACTACTTAAGTTGGATTTACTATCATTTGCACCTGTGGTTTCATATTCATCCCTTCTCCCAGACAGTTCCTGGCTTTGAGACAAAAGTAAAGCCGACTTCTCCTTGCGTTAGGTGTCTGGGTGCATTTCAAATCCCCTCTGACCAATTCCCACCCCGCACTCGAGTCCATCAGATGCGCTGGAATTCAGCCTCAGTGCTCGGGAGGTAACCTCTGCTATCTCCCAACAGGAGCACCACAGGAAGCCTGGAAACTGCAATTTAACAACATCACTTCACAAACAATCTTTTTTTCCTGCAAACATTTCAATTTGCAGCCACGCGAGACCTTGTCTGCTCCTTGCTGCAAAGCCATCCCTTTTATTTTTCCACTTACAATGGCCCTAAGGCCAAGAAAAGGACGAGAAACACCCTCTTGCTAACGTTACTTCACCTTTGCCTTTATGTTACTTTAATTCTTTGGATCTGGGATGCATTTTATTTTTTAGAAAAGGTGTTTTCTGGTTATCATAAAGGTCCTTTATAATGGTGGGAATACAACATAATTCCTAGGATAAGAGGATGCGTTGAAACTAATACATCACTTTATCGCTTCGAGATAAACCCTGTGCATTTCCTCGCTCCCTCGTTTCTCCACAGACACAGCCTTCTCCCCACCAGAGGCTGCAGAGCTCGGACTCCAAGTTTAGAGCAAAAAAGCCACCTCGGGAGCGCCTCACGCAGCCCCCCACGACCTGTGCACAGCCCCTTACCCACACACCGGCACCCCCGGGGGCAAGCAGCTCCGGGCAGCCCCGGGCTACCCCAGGGAAGGCATTTTTGGCGAGGAGAGCCCGAGGGGAGCCCGTCCCGTCCCGTCCCGTCCCGCGGCGGCACGCACCGCCCAGCCAGTTGGAGGAGATGTTCTGCAGCATGGTGAAGGGCACGCAGAAGAAGGCGATGAGGAGGTCGCTGAGCGCCAGGGAGCAGATGAAGATGTTGGTGACCGTCCTCATGGCGCGGCTGCGGGTGACCACGTAGAGCACCAGGCAGTTGCCGAACAGCGCCAGGGCGAAGATGAGCGCGCAGACGAGGACGAAGGCGGCCTTAGCGCGCCGGGGCAGCTCGGGGATGTAGACGAGCGGCCGCAGCCCGTACAGGGCGATGAACTGCTCCCGCGTCACGTTGTTGTCCCGCAGGAGCTGCGCGAACTGCTCCGGGGTGATGTTCAGGGACCGCATGGCGACACCTTCTTCACCTCCCACCCGCCCTCCTCCCAGCCCCTCAGCGCGCCCGGCCGGCCGGCCGCACGAAACCCTCCCCGTCCGCAGCGGCGGAGCCCCCGCCCCGCCGCGGCCACCGCTCCGCCCGGCGGCAAACTTTGAGGCGGCGGCGGCCTCAGGCCGGGGCGGGGGGAGCGGCGGCGGCCAATCAGCGCGCAGCGCGGGACCGCCCCGCTAACGGCCCCGCCGCTCTGTGAGGGGCGGCCGTTGGGCGGCGCCGCGGCCGCGAAGGGGCAGCCCCCGGCCCGGTGCTCCTCGTCCCCCGTACGTGGTGTGGAGGGCGAGTGCTCCAGGCTTTGGTCCCAAAATTCAGGCAGCCCCTTTCACCTGGCCCTATAGCCCTGCCACATTGGCCAGAAAAGCTCACTTTTCAGTCCCCAAATGGCACTGCCAGGCTTGCGTTCCACAGAGCAGGCAGGCTTGTTCGGGGTCTAATTGCACTGATTTGACCAGGCGTAGCCTAAAACAACTCCTTCCACTCAGCTTTTTCACTGCTCCTCTTCATTCCAGCCTTAAACGAGATAAACCACAGTAAACCACCCTGTAGTTTCCTCATACACCCTTTCCCATTCCTCCTTTTCCCTGCTCTTCCCCCCATTACATTAGTAACAAAAACAGCATTTAGAAGCTCTTCTATTAACACCCAAACTAGCTGCGTTTCAGCTGATTTCATTCCCATCAGAAATAAAGGAGGCTCGAACTTCGAGAAGATCAGTCATTGTGTTTGTGGAGTGAAGTGTTGTATTATTGATTGCAAACGCATCCAAGCATATCTGGAACTTTACAAACAAAGGAGAATAAGCTTTCACCTAAATACTGCAAATAATCAGGTTTTATGGCTTACAGGGACATTTGTTGCACATCTATCCTTTTTTTATTACTATGATTGCTCATTACAAATAGTAAAACAGTTGCATTAAAAATGAAATACATCTGAATGGTCTGCATAATACAAAGAAATCTTGAAGCTGTAGGCTATAGAAGCATGCTATTACATCTGCTGCAGACTTAGCTGGCTTTTTAATGAAAAAAGCACGATGCAGGTAATGTTACAGATATCATTTGTCTTGAGTATTTACTCACATGGAGAAGATGACTGTAGGATTTACTGAAAGTTTTGTTCTCTGTGAGCGTTGTTGATCCTCCTGGCTGAAGCAATAACAGCACGGACATCAAAAAAATAATATGGCAAATCACTAGTAACTGTATTGCCCAGCTCCCTGACCTGAATTAAATTTCATTTGGAGGAAATAGGGCTGAGTTACAAAAGGGATCCTCATCTAAAAACTGCTGAAATTACTGAAGTGACTTCTCAGCTTTCTGGGACTATGATGGGTTGGTAAGCAGGGAGAAGGACAGCTCAGGGCAGGCAGTGTTCTGCCTCATCCTGCACCCCATGGCTCAGCACCCCTGGCCACTGCTGGCTCCTGCTGCTTCCCTTCCTGCAGGTCATGATGGCAAGCAGTGCGGGGCTGCTCACTCTCCTCACTGCCGTGCGGCTCTTCAGTGAGATGAGCTGTCATGTAATGTCTTTTCTCTAGAACTGAAAGGAGAGGGTGTGCATGTATAAGAAGGCAGTACTACATCGGTTCTTAAAAGAGAAGGAATAAACGAGACTTTTGAAGAAAAGTAGTTTCTTTTTCCTCAGCTGGCTTTCCACTTTCTAGAATTCAGCAACTAAACTGCTACCTCACTTGTCAAATACTTACATGCATATATATATTTACATTCTCCTGCATGACTTTATTAAAAACTGCAAAAAAAAAAAAAAAAAAAAAAATTCTCCTTATATTTTATCTTCTCCTTCCAAACCTTCTTCTGTTTCCATCAAAGTCTATGGAGTTTTGCTATTTACTGCAATGGGACATCGATATTGCCATTACATGATCTTTTTACTACTTAACAAGTTTACGTCTTAAGTACTGCAAAAGGTTGTACAATGCTGTGAAATAAAGGCTCTTAGTAGCATGTATATGCCTTTACAGATCATAATTTACTAGAGACTTCTCTGTTCCCCTGATTATTATTCATGAAACTGATGTGTTTACAAATATAAATCAAGTTTTGAAAATACGCACAAAAAATATTCTAACAAATAATTAGCTGTAGAGAAACAGTGTATTTTTCATTATGCTTAACCAAAATATTTAAACCTTTTACTGATTAAATGGCTAGAAATATTTTAATTCTGTATCTAGTATTCTGGTGAAACAACCTTGCTACTTGAACTAAGATCAGGTTTTGGGTTTGCCAGTAATTTGAATTCAACTTGAAGTAAATTATATATTTTTTTCCACAAACCTATAGATTGATAAGCATGAAAAGCAGTGAAATGTGAGTTGTACCAGACTGTACTCTGTCATAAACACTCATTTCTTCATGCCACCATATGCTAATTTTTTTTGATTAGATGATTCATCAGAATGACACTTTCTTCTCAAAAAGGACAGTGACTTTTCTGCAGGATGAGAAATATCACCAGTCAGCTCATGCACAGGTGATAACCTTTTCTCTTCTGAAGCTAGAAGAAGTTATAATTTCACTTCAGCTTTTCCCCTTTTAATAGCAAGCATTAAGTTCAGTGTATGGCTGCTGTGAAGGGAAAACAAGAAATCAATTTGCACAGGTGAAGTTTGTAAAAACTGTGATCAGCAGTCATTTTGCACATTGAGAAATCAAATGCTTACTGTGTAACCCTAAAACAGAAAATTTAAAAGCACCTTTTTTTCTTCCAAATCTTCATGCACCTTTCTTATTAAGGGTGAATGAAATTGATGATGATGATATCACCAGAAAAAAATCCCTCCTCTTCTTTCACTCCCCTGAAATTTCCAAAGACTTTGGATCTATACTTCAGATCTATATTACCAGCTTTTTAACAATCGCTTCAAACAATGGCTAGTCAACATTATTAGCCTTGGTTCCTTTGGTAAGTATGTTGGGAATGTATTCACCTCTAATCCATGTTGGCACCACTGTTTTTTGGATCATTCTTCAAAGGAATGGAACAGGTTATTGTTATCATTAGGTAATTTCAGAGTACAACAAAAATAAAGCACCTATTAAAATAATACTTAATAATTATTAAGAAAATCATCAGAATCTATGGTAGAGTTGCACATAGTTACAAAGTATGTTGGACGACTTGAACAGAAAAGGAATTACATTAGCCTAGGTTGTGGGCCAACTCCAAAATGTTTTGTTGCATGCTGTGTGATCCTGCTGATAAACACTGCTGGCTGATAAATCTTTATTCTTGTGAAGTCTTTTGTCTCCGAGGTTGGGTCCATGCACACCTCTAGATTTAGTGATCCTTGCTTGGTTTTATATCCCAGCCCCATCTCTCACTGATACTCATGTACAGACCGTACATGGATGCATGACAGAGACAAACTTTACAGCACCATATAGCTTGCTCATCGTATTTCATACAAAGATGAAGCAAGAACAAATATGTGTAGGAGAGCAGTGTTTTCATTTAATCTAGGGAAGCCTGACCTCAATAATCTTGTTTTTGAGGAGGAGTCACAGATAGCCCAACACCTGGAAAAAATAGCAGCCATCCCCAACACAGTTTCTTGCTCACCCAAACCAAGACTTCCTTGCTAAAACTGTTCTGACATTACTTGCTTTATAGTTTCTATCCTCTGCACTGCCTCCCAGCCCCTCAAATAGTTCAGGTGGCACAGAAATTGTTTCGTTGAGCAAGAGCCTTTTAAAATCACCTTGAGAAGTTGATGGAAGTCTCTCCCCTCAAAAAAGCACATTTCTAATAGGTCCCAATGTGCACGATACTTACCTTCGTTTACTTTTCACTACACTCTCTGACAAACTTCCCCTGGGCTCCTTCCCAGCTTTTCTTCCTACCACAAATGAAGACTTTTCCAACAGTCTTTCAGGTATTTTATCTTGTCCTGCCATTTGTCATCCAGAAATATTAAAGGAGGAACTTGGGGAATCAAAAATAAGCTGCAGAAAGAGGAATGCTCAAAGAAAAAAAAAATAAAATTGAATGGTTTTATTCTACTCTCCTTTTCCTCCTCTATTCTCCCTTGTTGAACAAATGAAGCCAACACAAACAAACAAAATCAACAGGTCCACAGCTTTTAAAAAAAAAAAGTTATAATATTTACAGTTTTCTTAGATTATACACACTCTTCAAGTAAAAAAAAAAAGTAGCCATTATGAACCTGCAAGCATTGTTCATATATATATATACACATATATATATATATATGCAAAAATGCCAACTCCTTGATTAGTGTTTTAAGTAGTCATATCACTTTCCATTTTCATTTATATCATATGTATAGGAAAGGAGGAAAAGGAATATTTCCCCCATTTCTTCCACATGCTTGTGCTGAGAAGCAGTTCATCCATCCCCACATCCCTAAACTGTTCTCTTTCTGATGGTAATCCCAATCAGTATTCTCTTTTATTCACATACACAGAAAATCAACTTCTTTTCACAGCCAGTTATCAACTGCCACACTTTCCTCCAATGTTACATTAAACTTCTTTGTCTTGTGATCCAATATCAAGACTAGACCATTCATTAGGAACAGTGACAAATTCCTCAGCAAACCACTTTCACCAAGGCCAGTCATAAATCTAGTTCTGTTATCTTTTGACTGGTAGTAACGTACACCAGCAAATAATGGGGACAGCACCATGATCCTCCAGCACCACATCCTCACTCCTTATAGTGCTCATGTCCTTTTCACTTCTTTCACTGGTTTCTAGACAACATGTACCCCAAAATCCGTTCAAACCTTCATGTAAACATCATTTACAATTACAGCCAAGGGATTTAGATAATAAAAATCTTTCAGATAGCTGCCTGGTCAACCCCAAATACATTAAAAATCACAAATTACCTCTTGATAGTTCTTTCATTTTAAATCATCATCTTTGTACTATTTTTCAAGACTTTGGTTGAATATCACACAAAGCTTTATTTAATTTTAAAAGACTATTACCTTGCGCCATTTTTAGCAGTTAACTTCTATATTTTATTTCTTGAACAAAAACGTGTAAATTACCTTGACTGTTTCTAAATGGAGAAGTCAGCCTGGTGCAAGCTGAATAGAAGGTTATTTCATTTCTTAATAAACCAGTTCTCATTTTCTCTTCCTCTCCTTCTATTGATACTGATATTCAGCGTTGTCATTTGCAAAACATTTTATTAAATGTCTGTACTACAGTATTTTTTCCTCTTCTCCTTCTCAAATAAAGAGCTATTTATCACAAACCATAATATTCAGTACTGAATGCCAAGCAAAAGCTGAGTAAACCCTTGGATCCAAATTTCTCCAGGGAAATACAGAGCATGGTGTTGCAGAGATTGACAAAGGAAGCTGTTCCATTTTGAAAGAAAGCTCTTTTAAGAACTGTCCTTAAATTTTGAAATTTAAGCGAGTCATGATTTTGTGCATTGAATATTATGAAAATGTTTTGATATGAGGACCATACTGTAATGCTCTCAGCTATTATAAACAGAAGCATTTAAAATGATCAATTTGATGTTGTCAGGTAGGGATTTAAACTATTTGACCTATCTGACAAAACTTCAGTCACCCAGTCTCAAGTATCAAGTATACCTCAGAAAAAGTTCTTTCCTAAAGAACGTAATGCTGCAGTTTTATTCAGTTATATAAACTATCCTAGATTATTTCTGAAAAATAAACTATTAGAACATGTACTTTAAAAAATAAAATGAGCTTATTGGACATCTGTAATCAAGATAATTTGAGCCTACCTTCTTTTTTCCAAGTTAAAACTTACCGATTCATCGATCATCTTTTGTAAAGCTTACTGAAAACTAGGTCAATTTTCTCCTGCTTTGCACTTGGATCAGGTGTCACTCGATAATTACTAAAAGCTATAAGAGAAAAAGGTGCTAATCACTCTGTGATAATAACCACAAAGGAGACTGAGTTGGTGACAACTGTAAACTGTACCTGCAGACAGAGCCCCAGCAGCCTCATCGCTGTGCCCAGCTGGTCAGACACGTACACTGCTCTTCTTCTGGAGCAGCTGCCAACACGATGCAAGGATGCCCAAACTGCCTGAGTTCTTTGTGAGGAATTACAAGTAGCATATGTGGCTCATGATCCACTGACTGGCTTAAGAAGCAAATCAAGTCCCAAATTAACAAGCCCTAAAACCCTGTTGATAGACAAATTAGTGTGGGCTAGTGACCCGTTGAGCATACATAGTAAATTGCTGTGCTGAAAAGTTTCAGTGTTAATATAAGCATCAATATCAATCATGGTGTGGCAATCTTACAGCAGGTGACCTTGGTCTTAACATCAAAGCCAACGCTGTCAGCTGAGTGGAGCATCAAAATGCTGATACTTCATCATCCCCTTTCCTTGTTCTCTAGACAGCTCTTCTCATTATCACCAGCCCCGGCATCAGACAGCGTTCAGCTTGCAAGAGCTCAGTTGTGTCTCAACTGGTGATGTTCTGGGGGGTGAAAGCTTTAAGTCAACTCACTGTGGAAACAAAAGTCAGCTTGTGATTTATCCAACATTAATTAAACCTCACAACTAATGAAAGGCTATTGAGCCCATAGGAATACTCTGTGGAAGATGCAGGCCGTTCCAAATTAGCTCCAACTGTAATGAAAAGAGGTGTCAGCTACCCTGCTTTGAGTTCAAATACTTGCGTTCAATCTGCACTTCCTTTGAGAAGGTAATTAAAAATATCACACTTCTATGGAATCCACAGACTAGATGTTCAAAAACCATCTGATGACTTAGCAAGCAATATTCTCAGTGAAGTCAGTGTACATCACCACTTCCCAAAATCTCAGGAAATGGCTAACCCTACCCTTTTTGACCTGGGTGTTCACTGTTTGCCATGATTTCAAGAGCAGCTGGATCAGTCCCTCTAAACTCCAGAAGGTTTTATTACAGCACAATGTGTTTTGTTAGACGTTGGGTCTGATGAGCAGTAGTTTCCTACCTTAAAAGTGATAACAATATTTCAGAGTGGAGAAAAAAATCAGTTTATGAAATCCCCTGTGTGCCACACAGCACTATTTTTAACAATTCAGGCATATTCAAATAGGGATAAATCACAGGCTCCTTAATCTGGTCAGGACAGGCAATGTGGAGTTCATGTGAATGATGATAGGGCTCTCTGGCCATAACCTGTGTGTCTTTTAAGCATTCTGTAATGCCACTGTGATTGCTAACCCTGCTAAGATGCTACTACACAACAAGTTTGTTAGGTGAGATTAATTTCATATACCCCATATTACTGTAAATTAGGTCAGCTTGCTACAAATGAGTCATTTCTCTCTTTCAATTAGGATATTAAATCATTCTCATTTTTTAATATTTTGCATAACTCCAGATAGAAAGAATAGCACAATGTGCTAAGCAGTACGAGGCTCATTCTATCACACATCTGCTGCTTTTATGCATGTTCCCAACTGCTGTTCACCTCCTCCAAAAAATATTTCAGAAGTAGATATATTTGCAAAAGCACAGACATGTTCAAGAACATAATCTTTATAAATAAATTTTTAGGCTAGTTAGTCGAAAGCTTATGGAAGATTCCAGGACCAACAATATTCAGAAGTAATTGTTGTACTTTTAAGGGTCTGGGGGGGTTTTTGGACTTAACTAAAAGATGATGATCACTTCTGTGACAGGTTGGCTAATTTACTTTCAGTTAACGTATCTCCATGAATTGTGTGTCACAGCCATGTCAGCACATACTAATGGGAACCAGGATGTGTCTGAGTGCTTTCTGCAAGCATACGCATTAATCTGTAGAATACAGGTTAATCTCCAAACAAGGCTTTATTAACATCCTTAGTGTTACAAATAAGGGGGGCAGAAAAAGAAAGGATATCCAGACATGACAGTCTTATCACGTCCTTCAGGCAACAGTTATGGAAGAGGAACAGGTACAATTTCTCACACGGAGAAATGTCAGACTAATGAGGTGGTCACTAAGCTGGCAAAGGCAGTGGCAAAAATGATACTGAGGGGAAAGGATGGGCAGAGGGAGAGATGGAGTTGCACTCTCACAGTCCAGGTTGGTGAGAATATTTCCCATCTTCAAGCACCAATTCAGCACTTTGTTATAATTTGCTTTTGCAATAGATTAGAAGTGTTTCCAGTTCCAACAGAATTAAAAATAGTATTAAATAATTACACACCATAACCAACTAGGAAAAGCTATGTAGGATTTTCAGTGTCAGTTACAAAACTTCAGCCTGAGGCTGAAAAAAACAAAAAGCTGTCAGACACATGCAATCACCAAAGATTCGGCTTTTAGACTATTGTATGCACTTAGATGGAGTTACGGTACAGAAAGTTTTTATACGCACATAAACTCCACTCCAAAGAAATAGTGAGATTTCCAGAAGTATTTAGGTACTCAGCTGCCATCAACTTCCAACTCTTCTAAGAGCCTGAAGAGACCTTAATCTTTGTATGCTGCTACAACATGCATTTTTACAACACTTGGAAAATTTGGCCTCAAGAGCCTTGAGACAAAAAAAAAACAAGTTCCTCAGTGTAATTCAAGGATTAAAAAATGCTTTGTGATTTTACAAAGGGTGGTTTGACCATGGCTCCATGCACTGTTCCAGTGCTTTATTTCATAAATGAAGTATTTAGATGAAATAGACAAAGACATTTTGCCAAAAAATTCCCGTAAATCACAAAGTCTTATGTCTGAGCACAAGTCAGAGGTTTCCCAAATCCTCAGAAGTTAAATCACTTAACTATTAAGCACTTTATCCCTTTCTCCCTGCCAGCACAAAGAGTTTTCTCAAAAAGCTGTATTTGTTACACAGCCTTAGTGAAGTTGGTATTTGATCCTGTTTAGAATCACACAATCACTTAGTTTGGAAAAGACCCTTAGGACCACCAAGTCCAACTATCAACCCAACACTGACAAGTCCACTACCAAACCACTAAGCACTGCATCCCCACATCTCTTAAAATCCTCCAGGGATGGCAACTCCACCACTTCCCTAGGCAGCACATCGAGATGCCTAAGCGAGCACATTCCCCAGGACAGAGAGGAGGGGAAGACAGACAGACAGACAGCTCTGCATGCATGGAAGTGCATGCACTGGACCCCGGGAAAACTCATTATGTTAATTTTTTTTGTTCTCTAAATGTTTCTGCATTTTCATGCACACACTCAAGCAAATTAAATCTCTAATCAGTATTTATGAGCATACCACAGAAGTGAGAGCCTGTTTAACCACTCATCAATCCATTTTAATCAAGATAAATATACTGGATCATAGGTTGGGAACTACATCCTTTCCCGTGGCAGAGGAAAATGTCCAAATACCTTTCAGGGGCTACTTAAGGCCCATGATACATCTTCATGACTTTCAGATCAGGCTGTTTACCCAGCAGTGACCTGGAGCACGAACAGAAGTGCTGGCAGCATTTCCTTCCATCACTGCCAGCCCGGGGTGAGCCGGCCCCTGGGAGCACAGTGGTGGAGGAGCCGTGGCCGTGAGGATGCAGCCGAGTGTTTTGCCAAGCTGAGGTGCAGCCAGGAGCCTCAGGCCAGGCCAGAGGACAGCAGCACAAGGGCTCGGGGGTAGCAGGGCACTTGTAAAAGTCACACTGGTGTCCAGCTGGGGGATGGCAAATTCAGATCCCAAGTCACATCCAGCCCGGAGGCTGGGAGCCTAACGCTGTTTTTATGAAGCCTGAAGATCGCCATCCATTTCAAAACAAATTTGAATAGCCAAGTACTACTCAAAAGAAACACGGTTGTATTAATGCAGCACCACGTCTAAGCTAATATGACCTCTTGCTATTTAGCTTGAATGCAGCTCCACAGCTTCCCAGGCAGAGCTGTTTTCCAACCAGATGGCTGCAAACACAGGCCGAGTTTGTTCAAAGGTGACTAATCAGATCCTGTGGGTTGGTGCCAGGAGATTAATGTCACAAGAGCTCCCTTAAAATCTTCCCCCCTGTTCTGAAGGTATTGGGGAGGCAGGGAGGGACACATATAACCTGATTAAATCCCTACAGAAGTTTTCCTAAGGTTTGAGGTTTCTCATTTCTCCCATAACCAGAACAAACGACCAGCTGCAGACCCAAAGGCCACATCAGTGAACGATGACTGCAGATACAACATCACAGGCATGCTACAATATCCAGATCATTGTCCCATAATCCTATACACCTGTATCTTCTGGTTGCTCTGATTAAGTCCACCATCTGAATCAACAGGCATGTTGCTAGTTTGCTTCTATTTGTGAGTACTACAACATCCCACTGACAATTGCATTATTCATAGAGCTTGCCTTTCTGCTGAAGAATTTGCCTGGTTATATTTTCTATTTTCAAGCAGACAACAGCATAAATTTAAAAAACACAATTCCAAGAAGACAAAGTGTTAGGTTTTCTAGGTTATAGTCAAGTCCATTGTATTGAAATATTAAACACGTCAACAACAAAAAATGAATATGACCCACATCAGAGAATAGAGAGGGCTATTAGTAAACATCATTCGCTCCTCTGGAAAGCCGCCAAATCCTGCTCACTCAGGTGCTCATTCGTTTCAAGGCCCAGGTTTCAGGCTGTCAATATTTGGAAATTGCACTCCCATGACTTTCATCTGCAGAAGAGTAAAACTCAATCCAGGCACTATGAAGAGCTTTGTGCTTCCTATGATAGTTATTAAATATAGAATAAAAAAACAAAACAAAACAAAACAAAAACTTTAAGATGCCCTGATGTTCAACTCACAGATGGCAGCTCCCCACATCAGAAGCCAGACTCCTGAAGTGCCACGATGGGGCCCTTCAGACAGGGTGCAGAGCTGTAGCAAACAGCGAGGCTGTTGCCAGATGGCTTCTGTCCCACTGTTTGTGGATGCCTACATTACCAGGGGAAGTGATGGGGCAGTCTGCAAGGAGAATACAAAAAGGGGCACAACCCCTCCTAAAGAGGAGGACATGGGCACAATGGCGTCTGAAGAGTGAGAGGTGAGCGGAGAGTGACAGGCCCCGAATATGCACAAGCAGTTGCCACCCTTCTCCCATCACAGGCTCAGGATAAAGCCAGCTGTATCTGCGGAGCACAGAATAACATAATCATGACAGCTTCCTCTTTCACGTCGTCACCCAGCCCACCTGGCATCAGCTGCCACGTCACTCTGCACCACATGGGGAAATAGTTATGTGCTGGACAGCATCTGTGGTGGCGTGATGGCTGGGAAAATGGGTGCTGACCAGCACCCGCCTACCAGGAACAATGTGACATAGAGGGAGCAGGAAGCGGTTACCAGACAAAGAAATACAATTTTCAATTACTGCTGATTTTGTAATGACACAGCTGACTTCGTATTTTTCTAGCTAAAAAATGCCAGTGTACGGGATGAATATGCATCTTCTAATTACTGTCTCTGACATCCTTGAGTTACTGGCAGTCGAGCTATTTCAGTGCAGACTGAAACAGAGAATTATTTTTAGCCTGCATTGGTTTCTACTTATCCATAAGAATGAAAATCACTGCATTTAAAAAATAATAATAATAATCTGCAGCCTAAATAGTTTTTCCTTAACACATTTTCCAGTTAAGATAACTTTTTAAGGAACTAAAAAAATATATTCCATTTTATAAAAGTAACTAACAGTTTTTAGAATTGCATATTTATTA